CCCGAGAGAAGTCACAAGTGAGCCTCCTCTCGAGAAGTCACAAGTGAACCTCGGGAGATGTCACAAGTGAACCCCCTCCCCCATCTGCGGAATCCATGAAGCTGCACAGGCTGGGCTCCACGTTTGTGGTCTGGACGAAGCAGGTGCAGACACGAATGGCGACTGTGTTGCCATGGGTTCAAGTCAACCGGCAGTCTGAAAACGAGCTGTGAGGCACCAGCTCCAAGATTGGACAACTTTCTTTTGTGCACCCGCCTGTGATGCCTGTGGATGCCTTAGTGGTGCGCGTGCTTTGCTCCCTCTCTCTCTCTCTCTCTCTCTCTCTGCTGAGGGATTCCTTCAAGCGCATTCATGCAGACAATTCCTTCCTGCAATTTGGATTTAGGGGTTATAGGGTTTGGGGCCAAGATAAAGCACGTTAAGAAGTCTTTAAAGCCTATTCTTTTTGAAGTTTGAAGGAGGGTGGCGGTCAAGTTCTGAAGTCACCCGGCAGTCGAATTCGGAGACAGCGCTGTCTCTGTAAGGATCCTCAGGACGCCTGATCCGAAGACTTTGAAGACCCAAAACCTGGACACCAAGAAGACGAAGTCTCAAGACAGGGCACCGATGTGACTTCTAGCTGTAAAGCATTTGGATGTATATGCGAGTATGTACACATTGCTTACATATGTTTATCTGTATGGAGGGAAGTGGGCAAGGCACCGCCAGCCCTCGCATTAGGACCACACTTAGTGTAAGCCTTCTTGAAGCTTCTGCAAACTTATCCTTGGAACCCTCAACCACGACTACTCTCTCTCTCTCCTTCCTCCTTCGCTCTCTTACGCAATGTCCCCTACTCTGCCCTCTCCGCCTCGTTCTCATGCAGCCAGTGACATGGTAGTGTGGGGATGCTGGAAAACTATGTGTGTATGCTGGGCAGTCTACGGCGTCTACGGGACGTACAGCTTTTGAAATTCTTGGCCTCAGAAGGCCACCAAATTGAAAATAGTTCCGAGGTGGCGTGGCTGCATCCCACAGCCACAGCGTTCGGTGTGCCAGCTCCAGTCGTGGCGGCTTGGTTGCATCTATTGTGAGCATAGCTGAAAGCAAGATCAATCTGAGCCGAATACCGCGTGCTGTGACATTGACATGAGATGTGGCTCACCTGAGATGCGCTTCGCAAAGTCAGCTGCTGGCCATGTACTGCTCCACCCTTGCGAGGTCTCCTTCGCGCTTGGTGTGGACCAGTCGCTGGCTCAACAAGATGTGTATACTAAGCCACCAGAGTGTTTCCTGTGAGTTCAATAGCAAGGGCAATGCTAAGCCCCAGGGTCAGCTGTCTAAAAGGCTGGCCGAGACAACTTCCACAGAAGCCCGACAAATCGCTAAGCTCTGTTGGAGCTCATAATCCCCCACCATTCCGGACAGGTGGGCAATCAATGAGACTGGCACCACGAGGTGCCATGGGGTCTTGGGCAAGTTCTACAGAGATGCTATGATGTGCGCTGCTCGCAGGCTCATTGTGTGGTTTGCCAACACTTCTCAACTGCAGCCACTGCAAGTCGACGGCGCCATGGCGTTTGCCTCGAGCCTTTGCTGCATCTGCTAACAGGCATCTCCATCCATAGTATCCGCCCTCCTGTGCTTATGATGCCGACGCCTAGGTCTGAAATTGAGCCACCAGAAGATCAAGCTGCATGCGGAAGGTGCATGGCTTGCGCGTGCTTCCACCAATTTGATGCCATGAAACACTGGGAGGTTGATCAAAGAACTATGGTCCAACGACAGCCACTTTCCACTTCCCAGGCACGCAAAGACATCTCCCATGAGAAGAGAACAGTTCTTTGCATGCCAGGGGCTGCGGTTCAAGGAGTGCAGGAGCAGCTTGCCAAGCCAGTTCACATTGTCTCCAGATTCTCTCAAGGAGGGTTTCAGATCCCTGCGGCCAAGGTTGAGGGCCAACTGCAATTGCCCACCACCTGGCTGACAAAGGCGGCAAAGCAACAAGCAGCGATGTTGACGGCAAGGTCATTCAGTCCTGGCAATGGGCTCCGCGTCGGGGTGTTGTACCAGATGGTCTTCTTGGTGCCTGGGCATGTCCACCTGCAGGGAATCCACTTCAACTAGACCAGATTTGCTCCTAGGCCATCCTCAGTCCCGTCATTGGTGAAGAAAGCTTGCAGCTATGGCCTGGCGCCCATCCTGGTATGGTGTAGGGATAAGTCCAAGGATTCGCCTTCCGCCCAGTCTGAGTCTAGTGAGGCTGATGGGTAGCGACCCGAACGTGGTTCATGAGCGCGGAACGCCTAGTCTTCGCCAGTTTTGCGCCCAGATGCTCGGCATCGATCTTGCAGGGCAGGAGCTGAGATGAAGGTTTTGAGATTCAGTTCTGCCTGCATCCTGCTGAGACCATTGACAGCCGGAGCGGAATTTCCAGCTCCACGTCTTGCAGTTTTTGAGGCGCACTTTGCAGCTTGACCCCTGTAAGCGTGTGGGATGCAGAGAAGATCTTGCTAGGTCATAGGGGATTCCAATGGGCTTGTAGAGCTGAAGGAGGCAGGCGCGCGGGCCTATGCCATGTGAAGCCATTTGCTGTAATGCCAGGAAGGGCCAAGCTTCAACTTCCTGCTCGTTCCAGATGATCGAATGCAAAAAGTTGCACCTCGAATTTGGGTGTTATAGCTCATGGCTTAGCAAAGGACGTCGGCGAGCCCATCCCTCCCGAGTCCCGCCTACGTGTCTTCTTGAGCTGCATGGCAGCATCGATGGGCCACTGCAGAGCACAGAAGCCTGCAGCAAGCTGACTACAGGTCCTTTGACTGCCTGGGCTGGGAGAAGCAGCAACTGTATTGCACGATATGAGCTGCGTGAGCTGCGGAGCTTCAATGCTACTCAATCGGCAAACGAGCTTCGTTGCCAGGCCATCCTTTCGGACGTACTTTCACTGGGAGCAAGCACCTTTAGGAGATTACATGCAGCATTCGCTTCACACTGGAAGGCATTCTCACTTGTGGAAGACTTGCACTTCCGCAACTTGCTGGAGATAACCCTTCCCAACACCTCCCTGGAAGCCAGTGCAAGGTTGGCTTCTCAAAGACAAGCATGGCTCCAGGAAATGCTCATGCTGTGAAGACGCCCGAATCATCCCTGATCGCTGGATTTGCTGCTTGCTTGGCAAAGGCTTGAACTTCGCGTGGGTGGGCTGGCGAAGCCTGCAGGCTTCCGGCATTTTGCAGTGCCCTGTCTCAAGCATTGTGAGCCTCGAGCCCCAGGTTTTTTCCCTGAGCAGCTGGCTGCGGAGTTGCGTCTGCCAGATGGTTCCAGCCCGCACTACGCCTCCAAGCTGCATGACTGTGGGTGCTTTGGCAAAGGCATTCCATTCCGTGTGTGCAAGCTGACAGGTCCTTGCCTCGGGGAGCTTGGTCACCTGGATGCTCGACCGAAAACGCAGACAGCGTTTCATCATGAAGTCTGCTTTTCCCCTTTATATCTAGTCTGATAAAAGGGCGACGTTGGGGCCACAGCTAGCTCAGCAAGAAAAACGTCTGCGGACTTGAGGCTGCCTACGCACTCCTCCACTGTTGCGGGCATCATCTCCTGCAACCAGTGTGGCAATGCGGCACCGTTCCGCCCCTCAATCGCAATCATTGTGCCGAGCACCGGAGAGTAGGTGGGAACCAGGCAACAAACTATAGCCTCTGGCCATCGCTTTGCCGAGAGAGCATAAAATAGCAGCGTAGGTCTGCTAGGTGTACAGTCTACAGCACCGGAAAAGCCTCTCCCAGATGGTTGCAACATGATGATTTCTCCTCAGGTGGCAGCCAGACTAACCAACTTCTTGTTCGGTTTGCATTGACTGCTACGCTCCGCTCGGTGACGGTGGATGGTGATGCAGCAGGCGCATTTCCAAAGTTGAGTGCAAGTAGTTGAGTCATGTCGAAATGCCATCAAGACATTAGGGGCTGTGATTTGCCGTGCTAAGTTGCTAACTTCCCAGTGGCTAGCTGAGCTTTCATCAGGCGAGGCGCTCCTGTCACTGCGTGCGCCAGCTGGATACATTCTCAGACAGGCTCAGGATGCGTCGGCAGCTCGGAGGATGAAGAACAGCAACCAACACTATTGCACCAGCGCACACTGACACCCGAGTAGAAAGAGCAGCGGCCCTGCAGGGCCACAATCTGGAGCCTCGGAGAGTGGGTCGAAGTGTAGATACTTGGAAACTGCACGTCCCCAGACTTATTGACTTGATGTTCTACGCAACTGTCATCGTAGGGGTTGAGTTATCAGACATAGCCATGGCGAGTACAGCCCAGTCTTCAAGGGCATTTGGTACAACAATAGCTTGAAGTCATGGGGCTGGCTTGGCTCTCATACACGTCTCTGCTAGATTCGTGTAGGGCCGCATGAGCATAAGAAACCCGAGCCGTTTTCAATCAAAGCATATCTCGCGCACCTCACGTCATCTCGTGTTTGAGTCCGTACTCAGCATGTCGTTCGCGGCTCAGCTGGCCAGCAAGACCTGAGGATAGGTACCGGATGTGTGAGCCGAAATCATAAAACACCTCGTTGCCAGGTTTGTGCCACAACAGTTGGAGCTGCAGATAGCGGATGGGGGGCTCGCCGGCCATGAGCCCGCGAGCCCCGATCACAATCCGAAGAAGCACGCTGAGGTCCGGACTTCCTGCACAGGATTGCGCCATGTCCTGGGATCAAATGCAGGCGTGCGCCCATGCTTCATCGACACCTCTCTCGCAAGTATCTGGCTCAGAGCAAATCAACCAATCCAGGTCACACGCTTCCAGCCAAGCACGGGTTTAAAAAAGAAGGCGTATCAGTGTTGGACCTTGGTATGTCATCAGTGTTCATTGTTTCTCTGGCTGAAGGCAAGCACCGCTCCGCGCCGACCTAAGTCCCGAATCTCTGCAGCTGGAAAGCCATCAGTTTGCTGTTAAGGACGACGCCAAACATGATGTTCCGGCTTCCAAGCCTAAGCCTTGACGGCGCACCTTGGCTGCCGAACTCTTGACCGCTAGAAGGTGAACTCCAGCTCAGTTGAATTTCTTGGCCAGCTCAAGCTAAGTTCGACGAAGAGCACTTTCCGCTTCTTACGAGGCGGAACATGTTCAACAGTACCACAGGTATGGATGTATTCACTAGTGTTGGCCGCTGTGGAGAGAGGGCAAGTGCCGCTAGATAGAATGACTGGGAGAAACTGCTGGATGGCGTCAACAGACTAAAGCTGAATAGCCGGCCAGCTCCAACAGTGTGATGTTTGATGCTCACCGGCAGGCAGCTGTCGATCCCAGAGGATGAAGGATGCATCAAGCTTCAGTCAGCTTCGGTCAGCTTCAATCAGCTTCAGCTCTGACTCCTTGCAAATCCGCAGCCGGCGTCGCAGGAGCAACCTTTGAAGCCCCGGACAAGCTCCAGGCCAAACTGAGCCTCGATCGTTAGTTGGATCTTCTTTCTTTTTGCTGGTCCAGGGCGTGTTGCACGATGTGCACCAGATGTACCTGCAAAAGTATGGTGCAGCTTCGGAGGCAGGGAAGGGATGGCCTCAGCGCGACTTGCATCTACTCGCATTGCCACGAGGATGACTCCCAAGACTTCTCGTACAGTGATGATGGCACGTATTGGACAAGCGCTGAAGGCTCTGTCACTTAGAGCAGCAGTTGCGCAAGCGGGCCACCAGTGAGAGTGAGGTAGCGAATCTTTGCTAGGGTTCCGTCATGTGGGGTTTCTGGCTGCTGTTTCATTGCCTTACCTGTGATCTTGTCTTTGGGTGAGGTGTGACAGTAGATGGTACTAAGAGATGCCCGCACTGATGGAGGTGCCTCCAACACGCGTCCGCACTCGTCCCAGGCCTGGAGTGCCCTGCACAGATCTGATTGAGGTAGTCCAGATTCTGGAAACGAGTCCAAAATTCTTTGCCAGTCTTCTGAGACAGTTGTACAATTCAGGAGTCCCTCGAGAATTTGCTGACTGAAGTCAAGGAGCAACGAGTGACAGCGCCACGATGCGCCACGTTTGTCAATTTCCTGCTGCTCTGCAAGGATCTGTACCAGCAAAAGTACGGCTTCCCTGTAGACCAAGCGCAAGAAGACCTGCAGGACGTTGGTGCACATACTCCACTTGAAGATTCTGACTATTGTAGGAACATCCTGCAGCAGTTCATGAGCTTGTCATCTTTGGATAAGGAGAACGCAACAGATCGCGACGGACTTGTCTGGAACGTCATTCATGGGACGGGAGCACCAAAAGACTGCCGCGTAGCTCGTTTGGAGCAGAAGCTAGCCCAAGTCAAGCAGCTGTACGAGCTCAAGTACGGTGCGGACGTCGAGTCGGATGACGAAGATGTCCAGTTCGACCAAGATGGCACTCCATGGATCGAGACTCGTGGCACCGGAAGCCCACAAGACATGCGTCTAGAGAGGCTTGAGCAGATGCTTGCAGACGTGAAGGGCCTGTATGCCGCCAAGTATGGTCGAGATGTTGACATCGAGCACGATGCAGATGGCACGCCCTGGACGGTCACGGAAGGCACTGGAGTTCCACGTGACTGCCGTGTAGCTCGCTTGGAGCAGAAGCTGG